ATGTTGGGGGATCCAGTGGGGGCGGCAGTCATATTTCAGGGTGACCATGCCACTCTTTATCACAACCCTGCTAAAAGTGCCAGTACGTGCGCTCATTGGCGCCCCTTCAGCTGGTGGCGCCCTAGGCGACCGCCTAGCTCACCTATGCCTAGAAACGGCCCTGGCTGTGACTCTAAGAACCCTTGTGAGGTATAAAGTGAGAGATGAGTGAGCAGATAAACAATTGTAAGCAGTCTAATGCCACACAGATATAAGCTCATAAAGCCCAAATGTCTTTCAGCTGTTTGGATAAATCCACCACTAAGCAGCTCTGGGTGGGATTTCACCTGTGAAATTGCATAAGGATATTGAGTATTATTACTCCATCACTCCATCCTTTGCCTGTCTTAAGGAGCCCATGACCTTCCTCATGTTCTCAAACAGCCACTGAAGTTCAAATTCAGTTCAGATGGTTTAAAGGCGACAAAGATGTTGTTCTCTGGCTCTCAGTAAAAGGGATAAGCTTAAGAGAAATGGTTTCCACTATACTATTTGACCTCTGACCTCATCAAGTTGAGTGGTAAAACCATCATGAACATTAAAACAACTAGCACTCTCAGGAGACTTTACGCTCTTTCATCTTCTCCCATTATAGTTTTCTTCTCTTGCTGCTAATCTCAAAACACTTATTTCCTCTCTATTTGCCAATGCCCTACAACTATTTTTCCATCAACTCACTGTTTCCTGTCCTCCCCACCAAAGTGCTGTAGTTCTTCACCTTTCCCATGTCTTGTTCTATCCATCTTCTCACACTACCTTCCAGTTTATTATGAAAGCCATCCTTATATTGAGATATAGTCTCAATGATGAGAAATCGCAATTGTGATATATAAGGTAACGTTACAAGATATGAAGCTGCTTTGTGAGCCACAATGAAATTAAGACACAATTGTGAGATGTAAGGTCAAAGTTTCATTGTGAGATATAAAATCACAGTTACGAGAAATAACTTAAAGTTGAAACTGTGTGAAACAAAAGAGATTTTATGTCATGTTAGGTCAAGTCTCATTGTGAGATTTAGTCACAATAACGAGGAAATGATGCCCCAATCAGGAGAAATAAAGTTGTTATTGTGAAATAGTCACATTGTGGTTATGTTTATGAGATTAAGTCCCAATTAAGGAAATTAAGTGACAATCCTGATATATACATTTTCTGAAATAAAACTAATTTGTTCATGCAGTTATTAGGCTATTGTAAGTCTATGGCAACTCAGAGAAGATGGAGTTTGCGTGTGATCTAACAATCACAACTGTTCCATGCAAGCTGTTTATAGTGTTCAGAGTTTCTGCTTCACTTCTCTGGAAACCGTAATGATTGTTGTTATCAGATCAACACAACCATTGCACTCCATTTTTTTTAGGAGTCAAGACCGCAGTGGACCTTTTCTTCCATTGATATATCACACTGGAATCTACAAAGTTACTCTTTCATGTGAAATACTTGAGTAGAACAGAAACTGAGCTTAGTTTTTTACATATTTCTTAAAAGACTTACAGCTTCTGACAGTAGAAATATATAAACTAAACGTTTGTTCCACTCTTTTAGCGTGTTGGTCATTTAAATTTGTTCTTCAGAAGACATTTCAGGGTAAGTGAAGTTTATTGACCATATCACCTTCTAGCATTTGCACTTCCCTTCTTTGCAACAGTTTCACCACTTTTAATCTTCAGAGAGTCTAAGAGGTTCTTTATTCTTGAACTAGCTGGTTCCAGTTTTCTCTTCCTGCGACTTTTCACCCCTGCTCCTGAGGTGACTGAAGGAAGGAGAAGTGCAGTGAACCCCCATGGTGAGTCCGAACTTTGCTGAAGAATTTCCTTCTGCTGGAAAAGCCAAGCACTTTCTCGACAAAGTGCCACGAAACGTTCTAGCTGTGTTGCATTCACATTCTTGCTAATGTTTAGAGTGGTTTCAAATGGATTCTGGATATACAAAGCTGTCGTTTCCAGTTTGGTCTGCTCCTTTCCCTGGTGAAAGAGAGATAAAGCAGGATATTTATGCCCTCAGGCACTTAAACACACAGTATTAACACATCAATTGCATCAGCATCTTTACTCAATTTGTTATACTGCTAATTCAATGTACAAAAACAACAAAAAGAATTAAAGGGATATTTCACCCAAAAATTTTAATTCTGTCAAGCAGGGCAACCATCCCAATGCATACATCCAAATCTACTGAAGCAACATGAAAAACAAAGATTATCAGTGATCTGGAAACATTAGGTATGGGCTAACTTTCTATAATAGTTTACTTATGCTTTGGTTGAACTGTTTTCATAATCTTTTGTTTACGGCAGCAGAACGTCAAGGGGGTTGAATAAATTTGATTGCAACTGTTTATCTGTGGCCACTGCAGACCCAGACACTTTCTTTGAATTGACTAGATATACACTGCCCTCTGGTGGGCGTTTGTGGAGGGTCTGCTAAGACGTCAGCAGTGTCCTCTGGGAGTTTGAGCATGGATGCACGTGTCCTTGTTGGATGACTCACCTTCCTGATATTGATCGATGCATTTTTGAAGGGAAAATTGCCATAAAACTCGAAGAATTCCTGCAACAGTTTCTCTGTGGATGAAAAAATTTTAACAACTGAAAATAAACAGCAGTGTCATTAACACTCAGTAAAAATGGAATGCATAACCAAAAGCATTACAGAAACGAGCCATCTGCCCAAAGGTGAAAAGGTAGAACCTTTCATTAAGTTTGTGTAAATTATGAAAACAATCCATGAGCTCCACTCACCTAATGTGTCTGTGTTCTGCTGCAGTGTAATCTTGCTAAGGTCACTGACAATAGTGCAGTCATTACCCTCAATGTCACACTTATCTGATGGTCCTGGAAAGTGCACACACACACAAAACATGAATATAATGTAAGTGACCATCCATATAGAAATGGATTCTGTATCACTATTGTGGCATCACTGTCCTTAACCCTGGCAGACAAGAAAACAACTGTGTGTGTAGAATATCAGCTCAGAGGAGAGAAATACAGTGACGTATCCTGAGCCACTATACTTTACTGGAGTTACAGATGAGACAGCAGTGTCTCATGTATTTAACACACACACACACAGTTTATACATTTTGAAAATTAAACAGAAACAAAAAATGCACGATCCCCTTCAAAAGCCTTATTTTGAAGCACATTAGGCAGGCAGGAAATGTATGTTTATTATTTCTAAATATCTGACTGTAGTGTAAAAAACAGAAATAGGAATGTGATAGCATTTATAATAATTATATTAGTATTTATTGAATAAATGCTTCAATTAATAACTCACGGCTACGAGTTATGAAGCTATGGAAAATAATTGACAAGGTTTTATAACAGGGCAATTTGACTTGTAAAATTAAATGTTAGTTCAAAGCAAATAATCCAAGCCATATAGAAGCCATATATTTTTTTTTAGACATGCAAAGGGTGTTTTATGACTTATTTATATGATGAGCTCTTTCTGCATTATCGTTCTAAAGTTTGGGGTCTGTAAGTTGTTTTAATGTGTTTGAAAGTAGTCTTTTATGCTTACCAAGGTTAAATTTATTTGATCAAAAACAGTAAAAATAAAAACTGTACTATTTTGAAATATTATTTAAATTCAATGGTTGATATTTTAATTAGGGATGCACCGATACCACTTTTTCCAGTACTCGCCCGATACCGATACTTTTATTTTCGGTACTTGTCGATACCGAGTACCGATACCAATATTTTCATTGCATTTGTACATTTTTTAAATATTGGGTACAGAAACCAAAAGAGTATGCATAATGTTAGTTGGTTAACTTAATTTATCAAATAGATACAGTCAAACCAGAATTTATTCAGACACCTTCAACATTTCTCACATTATCACAGTTTATTCACTATAGTTTAGAAAATGGTAATAAAATATGACAAGAACTCAGAGTTAAACGGTGTCAGAACAAATTCAGCTTGATAATGTCAGATAACTTTGATAGAAAGTTATGTAATGGATTACAATATACCAAAAATTATTCATACAGCTGTCAATATTTACACAACTATCAA